ACCTTACACCACCCCCGTGGTCTCCCGAGTCCAGAACCGGCCCTGACGTCATTCCCGCCGACAGCCGGGATGACGTCATGTGTGTGTGTAGACCCACGTGGTAGTGACTCTCCCGGCGTAGTGACGTCACACGTGTGCGTGTGTACACAGTAGTGATGCTACAATCACGACATATGTCATGCGATCAGAAGAAAAGTGAGTGTATTCACTAGAGAACCACTCTAAAAAGCTGCATCAGTCCAGCGATCGTCAAATGCGATTGAAGCAAGAGCATAATACGTATATCACCCTATTCAGTCTTCGAGATTGCAGTGGTATGATCCAGTAAATACAGTAACTGTTTACAGTCGGATATTTGTTTTGTCTGCTTGCATGTGTATTGGTCAAATTCCGAGTATTTTTTTTAAACACAAAAAAAATACACACACCAAACAATATGCCATACAAAAATTTCCCAACATTTTTTCGATTTTAAATAACTACGTGATTATCGGGCACACCCTTCCCCATTAAGACACCGGATAATCTATTGTAGTTGGGAGTCTGGGCTGGAAACGGTTTATGACCTCTTGCATGCAAACGGGAGGGTGATGTCTTTAAAAAGTTTGTGGATGCTATAATATCCCCACCTCTCAATTTCAGAGACTTTCAGATTAGAGATGCCATTAATAAATCCCTCGTTCAGAAGCATGGGGCTTTAGTTTATCCAATCATTGACTGGTTTTAAGCACCAAAGGGTTAAATAGACATTTCGAGACTAATTAACTCAAGGGAGAAGGGGTTTCTGTCATTAGCTTTGGGTCCAAGAAACTGTGGGACAGGTTTGTGCCCTATGAGATTATGCAGCAGAGATATGGACAGATCTGGCGAGCCCCAAGAGTTGGTCCAAGAGCTCTCTCACTTAAGACAGTTTAAATTCACACACGAGCATACCTGACGAATGAGGAAAAAAATAATTCATGGAGGTCTCACCAGGCTGCCCAAGGTGCCCTGGTCACGGTACAAACATATCCCCAGGCCTTCTGGCTCTGCCTAGATTTTGCAAAACTCCATGAGATGATAAGCTTTTTGTTAATGATCTATGTGGCACAAACATCTCCTCGTCCGTAGGAGACCCTTTGGGGGTATAAACGTGGCACGGTAACGAGACCTCAACATTCCCTGCTCCAGACTTTCACATCATAGCACGAAAGACTACATTTGTCAACTGGAAGGATCACGCGCCCCACTTATGAAAATAACGCCTTGCACATGCAGTCTCTCCAGTGTTACCGCTTGTTCAAAGTGGAGAGACCAAGTACTATGAAAGCACTTGCAAATGGCAACATCACCCCTCGCACTTTCCTGTTTTTTCGCCAGCCAGCCTAGGCCTCCCAGCATACTGGAGCTGGCTTTTCACAATTGCTGGGTACTTTGAATTGAATCCAGGCCCGTTTTTCCTCTGTGGCGGCTGTGGCGAGAACGTCAATGCAAAGTCAGTCCAATGCAACGGTTGTAAAGCTAGGTACCACAAACGCTGCACTACTTTAGCCCGCACCCCCAGTTCAACAACTCCACCTTGCACAACCACACAAGTGTAGTGACACAGCATCCCAGGGTCTTCAGATGGCTGGTCGTGGGTCTTGGGTCTTGAGTTACAACTGGGCCCCGATCGTCCAGGGAGCTCTCCTTTTATGCCTGGTCCAACGAGGGGTGGGGCCGTGTGCGCCACCAGACATCCCACAGAGCACACACAGCCCCCCCCCGTTGGCGGCGCCCAGGGGATTAAGCGCCTGGGAACTCAACGCCTGGCGCCCAGAGGCTTAAGCGTCTGGACCCCCTGGGAACCCAGCGCCTGGCGCCCAGAGGCTTACGCGTCTGGACTCGCCTGGGATCCCAGAGCCCCCAGCAGCCCCTCCCTTCTTATGTCACTACACAAGCACCACCACAAAACTCTGGTCTGGGACCAACTTGCCCAAGCATGGGAATTGGTGTATTCATGCTATTTGAACGTATATACTTTGTATAGTGTAATTTATGTACCTTCAAGATACTATGCACTCCCATAGCTTGTATTGTTGGTTGTTGTAACTTTGGACATGCATCAAATGGACAGAGCTTCTGAGCTCACATCCCGAGGATGACTAAACACGTTCCTTCGTCACATGGTGCCGAGCCCACCCGAAGCACTCTATGAAATGCAAATCGAGGGCGTGGCTATGCAAGACAGATCACCAATCCTTGGTGGGCAGTGTGGAACTGTTGTTCCTCTCTTGCCAAACAGGGACAGTGGACTCGATGGGACAGTGTGGAGAGGAGGAAGATCAGCTGGAAGGATCTGTGGGCCATGGAAGCGAGGCGGTTGAGCTTTTCCATCAGAGCAACATATGACGTCCTTCTAACACCTGTTAATCTTCACCAATGGTATGGTGAAGATCCGGACTGTGCCCTCTGTTCCATGCCAGCCAACCTCAGGCACATTCTCACAGGGTGTCAAACAAGCCTCAGCCAAGGACGCTACACTTGGCATCACAACCAAGTCCTTAAAAACCTTGCATCCGCCCTGGAGGACAAGCGAGCTGCCACCAACTCCCTACCACCCCAGCAGCATCACACCCCTTACAGACGACCTTTGTCCGCAAAGGGGCTAAACCACCGAAGAGCAGCTCTACACCATTAGAGCGAGACCAGCTGCGCTTGGCCCGCGACTGGAAAATGCTAGCTGACATTGGCCGGCAACTTGTGTTTCCTCCGGAGATCGCAACCATCACCCTAAGACCTGACATGGTGCTCTGGTCCCGTTCGCTCAATAAAGGTCTTCATCATTGAGCTCACAGTACTCTGGGAGGACTCAGTAGATGAGGCTTATGAGCGAAAACATCTGCGCTATGCCGATCTAGCTCCCGAAGCACGGCATCATGGCTGGAACACAGAAGTCCGACCAGTGGAGGTGGGCTGCAGAGGTTTTGTGGCAACATCTACAACCAGACTGCTTAGAGACCTGGGAATTAAGGGCCAGAGCCAGCGTTCGGCAATCAGAGCTGTATCGGAGGCGGCAGAAGGCAGCAGTCAGTGGCTCTGGATGAAGAGGAAAGACCCCAGCTGGGCCCCAAAATGAGAGGGCCAGGAGGTATGCAGTCAACAATGCTCGACTCAGGGAGGAGGACGCCCCTGCCATGCATAGTCCCATGGGATGTTGGCTATCAACAACAAGGCAACTCCTATGACTAATTGGGAATGGGACGCAAGTGTAGGATTGATCACCATGTCGCTGGCCGCCTTTGGGGAGGGCGTATAGTATGAAAACACCCTAGGAACCAAAGGTTCACTACTGATGATGCGCTCCAAATTTCACCAGGCTCACTGTTCATGAACTCTTGGAAGTGCTTGCACAAAGGATAGTACCATCTCATCCTGTGTTCTTGGAATCTACCGGTAAGATTTTGATTTAAGGCTGTGGGCACTCTGGAAACAAATTTCCACATGTAAAATTCCAACCAGCTTAAGTACAGTATTAAATGCTCCTATTCTTTGCACGGTTGTTGCACATTATCCGTCTTTGTAATGTACCAAAAATGCCCAATTACTGCCCCGGTTGTAAACTTCTGGGGCCATTTTTCATGGCAGATTAAAGAGGCATAGGAAAGGATTTGTCAGCTTAAATTGTTCAACTGCTCCAATGCACATAACAAAGAATGACTGCGAGTTAGGACAATTGGGAATGTTTAAAAAACATTTGCCTATATTTAGGTACATCCCACTAGTCCTGCAACGCATAAACTGGAGACCACCTAATCGTTTCCATACTCGCCCTCATTAACTGGGCGATGGTGGTTACACAGTGCCCACAACACCAAACAAAGACCCCACAAGACCAGAAAAGTAATGCACCAGAGTTTTATTATCATAGGTCAAGCAAAGCAACAGAAGATCAGAAGCTCGTTTCCAATCCCTTTGAAGGAGTCGTGCGACGCCTCTTCGAAACAAACATAGCCACCGTGGCACTTGCTGCGACAGCCATCACCAGCGCAGCCACTCCCAGACCAAGGACGGGAGCAGCACCTGTAAAACAACAATTGAGAGAAAGGGCTGGTGGGCAACTGTGGAGCCGTTAAGCTTGGGTTTCCACATGCCGGAGGTTGTGGGAGCATTTGACCTATTCAAGTATTTGGTCAAGGTGCGAAAGGCGTGCTGTTCAAATATGTCACTCACCAAGGTTTGCCATTTAACACTGGTGGATGGGTTTAATTTAGCATGTCACACATATATTATTATAAACGATCACAAATCTCATTAGGTCTGTTAAACAGTTTGCCATCTTAAAACAGATTTGCATCGACGACCAAAGGACACTTGAGGAGCATAGCAATACATTTTCGGCATACCTTTAGGGCACTGCTTTAATATCCGTGTTTTGTACCTTTTCAACTAGTTATTGGGGGAAGGGGGTTGTAGTTGGATGTCATAGGCCCTTTCATAAGGGAAGAAGATGGAGTTCGAAAAACAAATTGCTTGCTCCCCAAATTGCAGAAAGTTCCGTATAGAGATCAAGTATTACAGACGGCCAATCCAAGGTCAACCTGAGAGCGTCATTGCCTCATGGAGGTCCTGGTTTGGCCTTAATTGAATCAAATGGTATGCTAACAGGTTTTACTCTTTCAGGCAATAAAACAGGTGTTAATATAGTCATACCAAATTGATACCCTTTACAAAGGAATCAAGTCTGCATTAACCACACGTACTTTTGGTGAACATGCTCCTTTAATTATGTATCGTCTTTGAAACGGATTGGTCTACACTAGACAACCTTGTTTATTGCCGAGTCCGATTCAAACCAGAAAAAGCCAAAAACAGTACAAAGACAATCCATGCATCAGAGCATTTATATCCCTGGGCGAGCAGATACATCATGGTACCTTTTTGCCAGTATCGAAGTATGAGAAGTAGCTTTTAACCGAGACTGGAAAAAAATGTGCCATGAAAGAATCTGGTAGCTTTACCTTTGGATGCAGATGTAGAAACCCGTGGCTGCTGCTGTTTTGCAGGGCTGCTTGGCTCAGCACCATCTGAGAAGGGCTTGGCAATCACGATGGGGCCCAGCATCACATCTTCCACCGCATACGACGGTCCTGAGTGAGAGTGCCACATTTGCAATGTGTCAAATGCCCAGGCTTAAGCCCATACACACCTGATGATGATTCCTTGTGTTGCAATCGAAACGCCATGCGAATTCGTGTTATTTGTATTATTTCCCTTCTACGCGACTTTACTGAAAGAACCAAGAATATGAATCCCTGCAGTCACAAAAGTATTCCTGTTTAGTTTACTTGGCACATTACAGTACTTATTTCAATTGTGATGCCTCCCACTTTTGATTGCCACCTAATACCATTATTTAGGAAAGGCTTACATAGTGAATATCGCAGTTTGGCTTTGGACACTTTCAAAGAACTTTAGGTCCCTTGATAGTCAAGGGTCTCCCGTATAAGACTAAATGTCCGATTACGACGGATGTACTCACCAGTCACTGCTGCCACATCCCTGCGCCTTCTTCCACTGGGGCACGTGGACTCGCAGCAGCTGCACACCGAGTCCGAGCCATCAGCAGAGACCCACCTGCATTGCACAAACATATACGAAGGCGCAGCTCAGTTGATGCTCCTGAATTTAGCCACGAGTGAGATTTGAACTCTGGCTACCAGGCTCAGACGAATTACGGACGTCGTATGCAGGCTTCTACAGTTGTTGCTAAACTCAAGACAAGTGCAGGCTAGGACCAATAACCACCTGAATACATCTAAACAAGAGCAGACCCGTGGGACTGCACAGGATATGTAATACCAGTTGCAGCTAGAAACTGAAGTCAGGTCTCAGGGATATTAGTTAAGCACACAGGCATGCAATAATATGTAGCCCACATGCAAGGCATGGATTGAGCTATTGGATGGAAGACACTGAAAAACAAATTGCTGGGCAATGCAAGGAAGCAGACCAACCTGTATGCAGCCGAGGGGCTGTAGGTGCAAGCTTTATTGACAGCCGTAGGAGATGTAGCAACATCTGCAACCTTCAGCTGGCAGAAGACAAAAACCTGGACCCGAGAAGAGGAAGATGGTTTCTTACTCAACCACAATGACTACCACGTGGCTAAAAAAGTGGTTTCTGTCGAGGCCTGCATAACAGTAGATCACCTGATCGCCATTGTTGGTCAACGTCGTAAGGAAGCGGAAGGAATCTATGAAGAAGCGAAGGACGTTGTCACTTTGCCGGAGCAGGAAGCCAGAAGTAAGGTGAGCATCATACGAGACTTTGCCATCCACAAGACACCTGCACAGACATCGTAGACGTATGACACGTGGCTTTAAATAGGGCAGGCCAGCAGAAGTATAATACTGCACCGAGCCCACCTCTTAAGGGGCTCCTCCCACCCGCAAACCAAAGCAGTCACCAATAACGCACATTGACCACATCTCTCATCAGTAGTGTATCGACAGACCACGTGATAAAAAGCATCAACTATACACATCAGAGCAAGATTCAGCGGCATTTCAACGTCAGGATGTTATATACTCAAGCCGTGGAATGCCACCTTCACAAGGAGCATACACATTCATCAGGTGGGATAAGGAGAGGGAAATCTCACCCAGAGTTAGAAATTATTTGGTAGCTGAGGGGAGAGTTCCTGTCCGGAACCGGGGTTGCAAAGCAGCTGACCACGAAGATCCGGAGTGGAACGTGGTTCAGTGTCTGCACGCTCGCCTCGACATGCAGAGTCTGGCCCAGCTGGTATACGGTGGAAGGTCGCGCCACACTCCAGTCGTCTTCATAAAAAAGAAACCAATTAGACAACTTCAAAAAACACAATGGCCAAGGCCGAATACAGACTAAAAGCGCTTGCTCACGCCACTGCTTGTGGAAGAATCCCAGATAAATCATGGGACCTCTTTCGCCAGTACCAAAATATGAGAATTGGTTTATCTTTTTTCTGGCAACAGGTGTTAAGATGTTAAAACACCAAACCGAAACCTTTTGCAAGGAATATTGTGCATTAAGCACAATATTTGTGGTCGGAATGCAAAAAAACTCGAAAGAAAGCCGTCTGGTGTGGACCAGTTTCAAAGACAATACATGTTATCAGAGTCTTTGTTTGCATTCTGACCAAGGATTGTGGTTAATACAGACATGATTCCTTGTAAAAAAGGAATCAGTTTTGTGTTTTAACATCTTAACACCTGTTGCCAAACAGGGGAAAACCTAGTCTTAAAACTCGGATATAGTTTAGGGACCTCGGGCATATATCTGGCCTATTTTTCAATACCAAGAAAACATCTTGAAGGGTTTATAGTCTAAACTGCCATCCTGGTAGTAGCCATGTGCATAATAGGCAATCAACGTCCTCACATCACCACTGACCGGTCATGAGCCTCAGCGTGAAGCTCAGCTGCTGCTGCATAACCTTGGCGCTGCTGAAGGGAATCCATGTGGGTTTGATGGCATTGCTGGACACGTTCCCCTTCCTGCAGTGAGGAGATCAGGCACACATTCTCGACAAACGAGCAGAGGTGGGCGATGCTCAACAGCACTAATTGCAATGCTGTTAACATCATCTTACAACGAGTAGACAAGCGAAGATATACATAACCATATTTTCAGAGTATATTTAACATCGCAACGTGCAAGACTTATATCCGACGAGGACCAAATAAGATTAAGTATGAGACTTGGCGCAATGAATGCTATGCAATGGAGTATAATTAAGGGGACCGGGGTCCACAGTATGCACGGCATGCACCACTTCAGGCGTGGACACTTGCAAGGCAGGATGTTTGAGGCAGGCCACGCCATACAGGAGCTTGATGTGAACCCATCCGTAAAGTTGGCACCAAAAACCCCCACGACAGACAGCACAGGGAGACCTTTCATCGGTGGATTAACTCGCTGTTATTTTGGCTTTATTGCAATTCAGGCCTCGCAAAGCTAAAGCACACGAAACGGCACGTAGTTTGTAAAGACCGTGGTAGAATTGCAAGCAGTTTAGCTGGACTTCAAAATTAAGAAAATGTCAACAAGAGACTGCTGGTGAACTCGCCTGGGATAGCGGCAAACGACCGGCACGGCGACGTAGTTTGTGCGGATAATGCCCGTGTTGGACGTGGGGCGGTAGTAGAGGTAGTTCTCGTAAGACAGCAGCTCTGCACTCATCTAAGGAGAAGTGGAAGACGTGGGTTTTTTTTTTACCTATTGCAATACTAGTGGAAGTAAAAACAAAAAAGCTCAAACAACTTGGTGGAAGACCCAATGCAGCAGTTCCATGGTTTAAATAATTCACCTTGCTCCTATCCACCATAAAAACCACACCCACACAAACCATGGCAGATGCCAAATCTATTATCGAAGAATAAAAACGCTCCAATGTACTACTGGTCAACTAGAACGGACGTTAACATAATAATGCAATGACCGATCTACAAATACCAAAGAGACTTCAAAGCGATAAACCCCTCTGTAATTGAAGAAGTTTTGCTCGACTCGCATGCGGAATTGTAATTCTGCATCTAAACTCGGCCAAAAAAATAAAGCAATTGGATTGCGCAGATTATGTTACAGCAGCATTAGCAGCCAGTTACCTGGAGGCTGCTGCCACAGCTTTCCAGTGCGTAGAGGAACGTCACCGTCCCAGCAAGGGCGTCGCTCCCAGTGACGGGGCAGGCTGGCACTCCCAGGGACAGGTCACTCGCCTGGGCCAGGTGACCCGTGCCGAACAGGTCCCTGCTCACGGTCAGCGTGAGCGTCGCCTCGTCACACACCACACTCACCGTGGCGGAGGTGGCCACTGCAGATGGCGGTTCCGCACGGGACGAGACGCGAGAGTTACCCAAACAGTGACACAGGTGGTCAGTGAAGCCATGAAAAGTCTGAGACGCGAGTCACAATCATCCACACGGAGCTACTAATGCTAGGGTTCCAATTCCCCAGTAGCACCTCAATAAATTTATACACGCGTTACGACAGGTTAAGAATAAGTTTTGGCAATCCACTACTGGATCAAGTCTCGCACATTGCGGTCGTCAGTTTGACCATACAGATCAGAACGGGCCGAATTAAGGCAATACCCAGGTCTACACACTTGTCGCCGACGTTAACATTACCGGGACGCAAATTCGCGTTTAGGTATATAAAACGGTGAATTAACCACCACGCCACACTACCAAACCCATCGTAAGTGCGGGTATATTATGGCATTCACATCAGTCAACACGGTAGTTGCATTGAACAACAAAACAACAAGTTTATAAATGTATATTTCGACCAAACTGCACTCACCAGAGGCAAGACATAACAACCCCAAGACCGCAAACAAAGCCCTCGTGGTCTCCATCGCAAGGACACCAAAAACCGAGACTTAGCACGGCACGAGCAGAGCCAACGCAGCTACTGTCCCGACTCGGGGCTTTTATCTGCGCCCGGCCTCATTCAGTTTCAGTAATGAGCCAATTAACTCCTCCTGCGTACGTGCCGCGCGATTGCGGTGCAGCTCTAATCTATGCACGTGCGCCGAGATCAAACAAACCTCTACTGATGAGACAATGAGTGAGTGGATCTGCTTTGATAAAATCTCGCTGATGAGACAATGCGTGGGTGGATCTGATCCAATCTGGATCGTGATCGCTGAGGGCTCTCCATATAAAAGGGGTCCGTGGCCTAAAGAAGGCGACGCAGCCGATTAATTTTACGATGGCGACCCTGCGAGTTCTTCTGCTGCTCCTGACCAGGTGAGGAGGCGGAGGAGCCTGCTGAGTGGTGTTCAGGGATGTTACTCAACATCTTTGGATAATGACGTCATGTGTACATTTGTAAGAGCGAGCGTATCCATATCGCTCTGGATAACTGACCTGCATGGAGAAATGCATTGAGATAAAAATGTGGAAGTGCGGTCCTGAAATGTCTCGCTTACACCATTTGTGGGTGGTAAGGGTTCCAAAGGTGGCATTGCGTGGCGCTGTTCACACCAACTCCATCGTGCACCGTGTTGGCCTTGAACAGGTGCTCCCTAAAATCGCTACTGGTCACTTACATTTTTTGGGGGGGGGGGGGGGGGGGGCGGCGGCGGCGGCAGTGTTTGCCTCTTTCCCTGCGTCCTCTGGTCTTGGCGATCACGTGTCTCGTACTTCCCGCAGCTTCCTCTGCCTGGGCTCCGTCCTCGCGAGGCTTCGCCAGTCGCTGGGACCACGGACGCTGGGGGAGCCGAGTGGTAGGGGGCGCTGCTGCCGCCACAAAACCACATCGCGCATTCGCTCAATACCACCTCGTGTGTACAGACACCGCTGTGCGCAAGACTAGAAGGGCGGCTTCTAGGTGAACTGGGAAAAGTGTTACCGGCGACATGAGTTGCCCACAAGAGCGCTGCCTGGACGAGGTGGGGGTGTGCCTTTATTGTGCGCTGCAGCATTCACGTGACGTGTCGTGATGGCTGCTGGGCACGGGGCCGGCATGGGGATAATTAATAATCCTCCAGCGCATGGAAAAGGGGGCGTTCAGGGAGGGACATTAACTCCCTTGCACGTTTCTTTTTACAATAATAACCCTTTTGAAAAATATGGCTTTTGACGGATTGGTACGGCTCTTGAAACTTTAATTAAAATAGTGAGTTGTACAACCTTGGACTCCACACGACTATACGTAACACTCACGTGGCAAAATCATCATGGACTTGTTCCTTTCCATTGCAGTAACAACGAACTTGTACACTCGCGTTGATAATTTGCATTTATCAGGCTCTACCTTGGCAACTTTCCACTACAATTTCAAGAGTCTAATGCAGGGGTCTACAACCAAAATATCAAGAGCCATGTTTCAACCTGTGGCTTCGAAGCTGCAGGTTGACGATCCCTGGTATGAGGTTCATACTGTCGAGTCGTGCACGTGCCTTTATTTAGTTTGCGCCAAATTAGAACGCTGCAACACCTAACAGACTTGTGTGCACAGAAAAGGTAAGGGACTGATGTGCGCCCACCCAGCAACCGGCACGGGCTGTGTTTTTAATTGCTCCCTAAGGTGTAGTTGATGTTGACGTCTCAACTTCTGAACTGCCTCCCCCAGGTCTACTGAAGCAATGCCTCTCCTCCACTCTGGGTTTCTCTGTGGGATGGCGCAGCTCCTCTGACAGTGATTACCGTGTCTTTGTACGGAGTGAGTCCACCAGCTTTCACTTCAATCGTGATGACACAATTAATCATCTTGATCCGTTGCATGATTGAATATATCAAGCTTCTCAAGGATCCTAGCAACTTGATTCAGGGCTGAGATTCTCTGGCCACTTGTTTTGGTCCCAACTGCTTCGTTTTCGATGCGTTCTGGCCTATGCAGTTTTTCCTATTCGGTGTCGCTTTTTAGGTTTTTTTGGTTCACTCTCCATTGTGAAATGTAATTATTATGAACGATGGGAAATTTAAGAATCTTTGGTTCAAAGCATAATATTGTATTGGGTTCATTTCAACTAGTCTAATACAGCAGACGACAATCAACCCTTATTTTTCCATAGGATAAATGCGTGTGTTTTTGACAATTCGTTTTTTACCCTTTTATCTGGCAACAAAACTGACACTTTTTTACAAAGAGTCATGTTTGCATTGACACAATACCTGCAGTCGGAATGCAAACAAGAACATAACTCTGATAATGTATGCACTGTCCTTGAAATTGATTGGTCCACACCCGAGACTGCTTTCCTTAGAGCCAATTATCATATTTTGCTACTGGCAAACAAGGTTCCAATGGTACATGTGTTTACTAAACAGTTGAATACCTTATCAATGCCTACGCAATAGGCTCTTCCTTTCATTGAAACATTTCATGCAAGGTGGTACCTTCTGTTATAAGCTGAACCTGGTGACTCCTGTCAGACTCTGGTTCTCTACTTGCATCGTCTGCATTTCCCACCGGAATCCTCCGTTGTCGACTTGGACGCTCTTATCGCTAAATCTGCCACGCAGCTATTAGACGAGGTCGTTGTGCAGGTTTGGGAGTACCGTAACTCCAGCAGTATATTGAGTATCCTGTGTCCTGGAGACGTCCCTGGTACTGTGGAGACTTCCTATTCGTGTTGACGCTGACACCATACTTTGTTGTTCTCTTGCAGTCACGCTACCCACATGAACTTGTGGTGCGCAATCCCGATGCATGTTTTTCTAACTTTTGTTCTTTATGTCTCCAGCGGTGCGGAATGAGGCCGTGGATGTGGAGTCTGTGCAGGGGGAGTGCGGCTTCTCCATCGCGAGGGACGGTGCTGCGCTCCACTTCACCGCTGCTGGTGATGCCTGCCACGTGCGCGTGGAGGTGAACACGAGGAGACCGTTGTGAATTGCGTCGATGCTAGTACCCGCTGGGACTGCTGTGGTAGTAGCGAAATTGATGTTTCGCAATCCATAACCGATGTTGTCTGGCCAGAATCGAATGGATTTTGTCTACCCCGGTATTTTTCCCTCTACGTTTGCGTAGCTCGTACATTTATTTCTAAAGTTCCTTCCAAGATTTTTTTTTTAGCTCATGCCGTCCACTCTGGAATTAGTATTCAGATGGTTTTTATTGCTTTTTCTATTTATTCCTACAAATTATTTCGATCATCCCTCGGTGGTAGCGACTTTGTTTCTAGTTTATACAGCAGCTTTCTCGACTGGTATCCCTATACAATCAATGCAGTGCTCATTCCATCTGTCTTGTTATCAAGATCTTACATCCTTTTTTTATCGGTTTACCTTGGTTTGCGCTTCGCATTTGTGCTCTTGTTCACTGTAGTATGCCATGTTACTACATTACTCTTCCAGCCATTCCCAAGTCCCCTTTCTTGACTCGCATTACTTGTTTGTCTTTATTCTCAGTCTCCTCAGTCTTATCTCTAGCATAATCGTTCTCTTTCTGTGCTTAACTGTAACGGATTTGCCATCTAGACGTCCATATAAACCAAAGTTGTCACCTTTGATAGAAGCAATGTGTTAACGGTTTACATCACACAACACTGCAAAACAAGCTTTCGGTTTATGCATTTCACGCCTGCCAATGGATGCAGCTTTCGCAGTACTATTCAATGCAAAGATGGGAATCGGAGCAGTTTGCTTGGTGTAGAATAATCGGCACTATGTATTGCTACAGAAGGTCACTATCCAAGCTGGCTTGTAAGAGACCAACATAGATGTAAGAAAAATATTGTACAAGGCGTAATTGTACATGTATTATCTAGGACAACAAAATGTAACGTTGGCAGACCTAACCAACATACGAGCTTTGTGCCAGAAAGATGTGCACTACTTGAGGTTACTTGTATACGGCATGAAAGTGGAAACCAATAATAAAATGTAGTTGACACAATGGACTATCTGCCCAGGGATCGTGATGCCCGTGTAAAGGGTGAGCATTTGTGAGTACGGTTGTTTTGTGGGAAGAGGAATGGAGGTTTTGTGGCAAGGTCAATATGGGACAATGTATCACACGTAGAGCGCAGCGCAGCATCCATTGTACAATAACAAGGGGTAACCTGGGAAAGTGATTTCGGACCCAGGAATGCAACCCCCACGTGCGGTCTGCCTGTCTTAATTTGGGTGGCAGGTGGTGGCGGGTTTCCTATTGACAGTTTTACTTGTCATTAAAATGGCCTCACCCCAAAACATTTAGAATGCACAATCTGCTGATTTTTGTTTTGAGCCTTCCTGGAGCACTGGCCCCCGAGTCCGATTTTGAGGGCTGCTGATTTCACCAGGACGGCAGGAGGAAGATCCAGGTGGAGCTGCAGGAAATGCGGCAGGGGCTGAATGGGCTCGTCTGGGCTTTCACCATCGACTGCCCTGAGAACCTAAGATCGGCGAGGGCTGGAGGTGAGTTCCATTGACTTGACTGCTAATCGGACCCACAGACTGCACTACCTCTGACTTGGTGCTCTAGAATGGGTCTGCTGGGTCAACGGCTGCCTTTTTGTATCGACCCAATAATGCCTTTCATGCCCTTGGCTTTTACTGGACAAACTTGCTGCTTGAATCATTTTCCGATGCAATGTCCCCCAGTAGCTGATTGCAATAGTTGCACCGTATCAACGCGTTTTCCTAATGCACTGCTGGTTGGTGCTGCCCTGGGTCTTGAGGGTTAATTTGACCATGCTTCACCACGCCGCTCCTTGTTGGCAAAGGTTGAGTGGCACTGACCTGCAATGCAACACATTGTGCTGCACTGCCATAGCCTTTTACAGCTAGTGAGCACGGTGTTTGCCCATCTTTGCAGTATACTCAACCCTGCTCCGCTTTTGAGATTGGGTGTATTGCCTGGGTGATTGTCATGTGCCACGTAACATTCATTCACATACTTGACATGTGGCTCAAACGATGACTTTTT